TTTTGAATCCAATGGTGTAATAAGTGGTGGACATTGTTAACTAATTTAGGTTTTCCATTCAATAATGTTATAGAAAATTTGAGATAACCTCCATTTTGAACTTCAAGTGATAATTAAATGAATTTGTATCCAAAACCTTTTTTTGTGCTCATGGGTTTATTTTCCATTTTTCCTTTCCTTTAACTCTATCTTTGGCTCCACCTAATTACTTTATAGTCATTCTTCTTTATGTAATTTGACTCTCCAAAGGGTCAAAGTGATTATTTTCCTCTTCTTCATCTTGTTGCTACTCCTCGTTGTAGTGCATTGAATCTACTAATCCTTCTATTGTGTAGACCAGCTATTCCATGTGAGACAACTAGTCATCCACCTGTACCGCAGTCCCACGGTGGATACCTTCGTCTGGGATGCTCCATAGGAGGAAGGACGTACGCATGGATGCCCAATACGTACGATTTTCTAATTTAGGGGTAGGAATATACCTTGCTCAAAGGTATATTATATTTTAGATAGCCACTAATCAATGGGAATCGAACCCGTGCTATTTGCTCCGATACCAACTATAGCGCACCTTATCTCTCTCCCCTTAAGCCAATTGGAAAAGGGGCAATTGCTTGATGAGAGAGCCCTTAGTGGCTATTTTATCCCCATTTATCCCCCAAGGTTCCAAGGATCCACGGTGACAGTATATCCAAATCTCATCCTATGATCACATGCGCTACACTCGTCCTCCTTAGATTCATCTTTAGGAAATTTAGGATTCTCAATTTATTCACTTTATTGAGGATTATTTCATGAAGCTTGAGAAAGGTTTTTTCCCCTACACTATGCCAGTGTTCCTTGTAGCATGGATAGTAGTATTCATGTTAAATATTGCCTTCTTGCATATGTTTGAGCAACTCACTAAAATCTAGAAAGAGCAAGTATAAACATGAAAAAAAAAAAACTAAAACTAAAACTAAAGATTAGTCATTGCAAATCAAGGTGGCTAAATGCAGGAATTAGCCATAAATCAAGCTACTACATTTAGCACAACTACATTCTAGCTATTGATTTCAAGTTGCCATGAGAGGAGCCACAGCACCACTCTCCCTCATGTGGCAGCTCAGGTGGCAAGTTTGAGCCACACCCCATCATATGGCAACCATGGCAGCCCAAGCTAGGCAAGCTCAATCCACCATAGAAGCTCAAGCAGTGCCATGGTGATTCTTGCGGTAGCAAGAAGTGAGTGCTTCTTATCTATATGCTTGCTGCTCCTTGCACATCTCTCACTCAAAAATCCTAGCTAGCTAAAACAAGATTTTCATGAGCCATGCAAGGTATCTAAGTAGGTAGTGTCACCCACACTTGGATTATGAGCATTTGTAGCACACTTGAATTTGGAGCCGAACTCCAAGCCCATTACACTACGAAATGAGGGTCCCCGTATCTAGCACTTGCACGCAAAATGGTGTCAAACAAAGTTTGGCACAATTTTGGCATACTAGTAGCCTAACGCGAGGAGGAGGGTACCCCACTGACTAGAGCAGCATGGAGTTTGGGCTTAGACCCAAGCCGGACGCAGAACAAAGAGCGACACAACCCAGCGGAAGCCAAACTAATGTCTCAGGTGGTCAAACATGCATTCCAACCACTATCCCTACT